TTGAATTTAAATATCTATAAATATTTTTTATAAAAAATATACATTTATTGTATTAAATTTATAAAAATTATAATAAACGTTTATCATTTTAATTAAATATTGTTATTATTATTAATTGCATATTTTCAGTTTTGATAAACATTTATTTTTAATTAAAAATTAATTTTTTTAATAATATGCACCAAAATTTTAAGTTAAAAATTTTTAATTATTTTTTAATAAATCTTGAATGACATAAAGTAAAATTAATATTTTTAAAATACAATTCTTATGATTTAAAATTATAATATTTAATATTATTAATATATTAAATTATATAATTTTGATAATTTTTTTTTATTATATGTCATTGAAGACGCTAAAATATAATTTTTAATTAAAAAATATATTAAAAGTGGCTATAATTTCCCAAAATTTTGTCCAATTAAAAATAACTGAATTGACGAATAGGAATATCCATGCGATGGCGATCACATGCGGTCGTCTCTGGTTTTTAACTTGGAAGCGTTTGTTTCAACAAACTCATTGACTTACAGACCTTATTTCCCGCCTTCTCCTTTCACATCTTAATTTCCTTTTCATTTATGTCTCCTTGTCAAAATAACTACTGATTTATTTAATCAGTGTTTCAAGTAATTAATAATAAAATAAATATAATTTCTGGTATTTTTAATTGACATTCTATAATCAATATCGTTTAGGCATTAATTAGCAAGAGTGTAATAATAATTACCTTTAAAGTGGATTATTCTTTGACCAAGACGAAAAGCTTCCCCCACGACTTCCCATAATAATTAGTAAATAATTAAGATGCGCTGCCAAATAAAAACAAAAGATAAGATAAAATCAAAATTAGATTGAGACAAAAGGGGTTGAGACTGCGACTTTTGTCTAATCCATATATACATTAACAGACCGTCCCTATCTCGTATCCTCGTTCACTTACCACCGTCCATTTCCTCCCATCACGCTTCATCTAAAATGTTTTATACTCCTTTTTATTTTTTATTTTTCATAACAAATCCTGTCATTATTTATTATTTTGTTCAATTTTTTTATTACTTTATCTGGGGTTTTATAATAATTTTAAATTTTATATAATAATAACACTCTTAATCATATTAATAACTGTTTATCAAAATTAATTTTTTACGAAAATTTAACACGTCGTTAGATTAATTAGTTGAAATCAATCAGTTCAGACTTGGGATTATTGATCTATTGCTGGTACTTTTCTACGACTGAACCTTAACCCTTCTTTAATTTACTTTTTATTTCTTATGACAAATACATATAACTGCTAAGAGAAACTAAAACATGTCTAAAATTTAGTTATAGTGTCTTCATATTTTAATATTATTTTGTAATTAAAATTAAAGCTTACTTTTAGTGATTAACGTTAACTTTTAATATACAATTTAATTACACAAATTATTTAGTTAAAATTCTAAATTTAATTTAAAAAAAATACATAACCACGTAAAAATAAGTCTACTTAAATTTTATCTCTTAAGATATTAAACTAGTCAGAGATTTCAAAAACTCAAGTTTGTACCGGTTAAATTCTTAAACACTTTTTTTCATTTGATTTAATTTTTTTAAAAAATAATAATTTATTTTATGAAAATTTTAAATATAAAACATAATATATATTATTAAAACATCAATATTAATATAATGTATCATATTATTAGTATAAATACATAATATTTATAATAATATTTTAATTTTTTGGTATAAACAAAAGTTATATTAAGATAATAATTTCATGCTTAGCATATTCTATCCGTTGATAAATAATAATTTTCTTATAATTATTTATCGAGACATTTCATATTATATATTGAAGAATTAAATTAACGTATAAACTTTAAATCAAATAAACATTCATAAATAGTTTTAATTTATTGTATGGCATAAATAGCATAGTAAAAAATAATAAAGTATTTTGAAACCCACCTATAATTTCTTCATAATTTTTTTATTTATTAAACAAAAATATATATTTTTTAATATTTTGAATATATATAATATTTTATTTTTGTTTTATACATTTTTTATAAAATAGGAGAGGACATTATTGAGAAAATATTATTGGGAAATATAACATTACTCAAATAAATATACAAAAACTTAGAAGGTATTTCATTAAATTCGATATATTTTTCTAAAAAATAAAATAAAAGCATGCGTTAATATGTATGCTAAAGACAGTAATTAAAGAAATAAAAGTAAAATTTATTTAGTAAAATAATTTTATGTTTGCAAATTTTAAGTAGAAAATAATATATTTAACGTGGTATATGAAATATTTTTGTAACCATTATGTTTATATATAACTCATACTAGTATAGGATCCAAAATACACTACAAACATTTGTGTAATACATTAAATTGTTTCAATTATGCTTGTTATACTTTCTTAATCAACCTTAACTCAATTCTATAAAAAAGCTTTGGATAAAGGTATAGTTTAGTCATATTCTACCTTTAAATAGACTCAACTTTTTTTTTACAAACTTAAAACTTGCACATGACCTATAAGAATGTTGATGGATGCATATGAATTAAAATATCTTTGGCTTGGTCTTCATCACTTGAAGAAAAATGTCAAACTTTAACAATTTAACATCACATTAATCTCTATTAGTAAAGTATTTAATTTTTTAAAATTAATATAGACATTTTATATCTATTTTAACAATAAGATGCATATATAATATTATTAAACAGTTTTCTAAATATTATAATTTCCTTCTGTTTATTGAAACTACTAAGTGTATTTTTTTTAAAAAAAAATTTAACGTTGTTTTATTGTTTCGTTTTTATCAAGTTTACCGATTAAAGTGTATTGACTCGCAGTTGAATAACTTATTTGGTGACTCAATTTTGTGAGTGAGCCAATTTCTCGTGCGGATTATACACGTACGTGAATATTTTTTATTTTATTTAAATTACCCTTTCAAATTTGGTAGTCTATTGTTGAACATTCAACTTTTTTTATTTCTTAAAAATATAAAACAATGACAAATATTTAAAACAAAGGTACGCGTTTTGGAAAAAATAGATTTTTAAACAAAAATGATCTACAACTGAGTCAACGTAAATCTAATTAAATCAACTTGTATATTACTATATATATCGTTTCATTTTTTGGAATGCACTTGGATATTTAATGTTAACAACTGTGGGCATGGCAATGCAGGACTTGATAAATGACAACTGCAAATCGTGTTCTACCATGATTAATTGCCTAGTTGAAGTCATGACGGGCGCAATTCTATTTAATAAACAAGATAAAGACTAACCAGGTTGAAGAATGAATAAGGTCCAAAAACAAGGTCATAAATTAAATTTAAATTAAGAAATTAGTCAAATATTTTAAATTCAACACGTCAAATGACGACAAACTAAAATATTTATATATTCGACTGCAATACTGACAAGGGTGAAGTAGTCAAAATAATATCCAGTCTACCTTTCACATGTGTAGAAATTCAATAGCTCAAAAAATGACTTCAAAATATCTCTAGAACATCCTTTTTTTTTTCTAATTAAGACATAACTACGGCATTACTCTGTGTAATATAAAAGGGAATATACACACTTTTTAAATCATCAGATAAGGATTGAATACGTATTTTAAACCCATTAAATTTTTTGAAGGTCTTAAACTCAAATTATTATTTCTTTTTGTCATAAAATATTTTATTCTCGAATAAATATAGCTAACAAGAGAAATGGATATGAAACACACATTTTTCCAAACGACCTTGTGATGTAAAATGCCATTTTTAGTGTTTTTTTTTTAACAAACATGTGCTCAGTTCCATCTAATCTCTCTTGCACAATCAATTGGGTAAAGTAATTAAATAACATGGGCACATGACATGGGATTGAGCCACAAACAAAAGCTTGGACAATAATTCAGATTTGAGAATATGCACCAGTTCTAGGGAGTGAGATTCAATTAAAAAATCACCGGTTCCATTGTTAATGATATACCTTTTCTGTGGAATAGCTACTAATATCACCGTTAACATTAGTTTTGTGAAAATAAAAATGAATGAGTAACTGCTGTTACGAGTCAATAATTGCCAATGCTACATGCTATGCAGGAATGAAAATAAAATATTTGTGAAAATGTATTCGAGTGATCGATTAAAATTATATTTGTTTAAAGGTTTATTATTAGTTTAAATCATCTATCGTTAAGAGGAAGATCACAGATATGTTGGGTGTAATTAACTCGACATATAAATACAATCTAGAATGATCTATTAATTTCGGACTTCATTTGTGATGAACCAGTTACAAAATTAAAACATTCATAGATTATATTATTATTATAATTTGTTTTTAAGGATTTATAATATTTTGTATCTTCCAAATGTTTAGTTAACCAAACCAGAGCACTCGATATCAAGTGGTTTGGTTTAATAATTGACTTAAAGAGGCCTCAATCGAATTTGAATCTTCCATTGAAAGCTGAAACCAATGCGAAGTCCAAACTAAATTTTCTGAAAAGACAAAATGCCCAGCCAACCAAATGTAACCTTTCTCTGTTAGACTTTAGACTTTGGATAACTAATAGTGAAAGTAATATATTATTATTCGTACATACAATTTATGGTATTGAAATAAAAACATCTGGTTTCATGGTCATTGTGAAAACCATCGAAATTGAAAGTAAAAATGGAGAGGGTGAGTTGGAGCTTGGAATCCTACGTGTGAGCCAGCTTATATAAACCCACAGCATTTCCAGACGTAACCGTCTACTCATATCAGACCCAACAACTTGACAAACAAACACAAGAAAAAACATTTGAAAAACCCACAGAAAGGACAAAACTAGAACAAAATTTCTACTCGCCTTTTCCCTCTTTACAAACCCAACTCACTCTTCTCGCCCTTCTCATTCTCAACGCTCAAAGATTTTTTATTATTATTATTATTATTATTATATATACAAATTAAACGCTTCCCCTCTTCTCTTTTCGTCTTTCCTCCCTCTACTCACTTTCCTCGTTTGTTTTGTTTTCTTTTCCTCACTTACTCTCTCTTTTCTTTTCTTTTTTCTTTTTAAATTTTAAATGTAATTGATGAGGTTGTTGTTGTCTATCTAGCTAGTAGCTCCCGTTGGCGCCCCTCTTTCTAGTTTTGGATTGAGGTATTAATTTTGTTTTCCCTCTCAACACTGGGGTTGGGGGATTTTCTGCGCACCCAAACGGGAGAAACACTTCAAATGTGATGGGAAGTGGAGTTTCGAGCCTCTGTTCGTGCTTCGAACCGGTGAACCGGACAAACGAACCGGTCCACCAAGACGTGATATTCACAGCCACGGAGCCATTGGACGAAACCCTAGGCCATTCCTTCTGCTACGTCAGATCCTCCGCTCGATTCCTCTCTCCCACTCACTCCGATCGCTTCCTCTCTCCTTCCACTTCCCTCCGTTTCTCCCCGACCCATGAGCCCCGAATCCGACCCGAATTTCATGAAACCGGATTTAAAGCCATTTCCGGAGCCTCCGTTAGTGCTAACAGTTCCGTCCCCAAAACCGTTATTCAGTTAGACGACGATGCAGCCGATTGCGTTGGAGCCTCCTCCAAGGGCAATCTCGTCAATGGCTTCGAAAGCACGTCGTCGTTTAGCGCTCTCCCGCTTCAGCCGGTGCCCCGCGGCGGCGAACCCTTCGAGGGGAGCGGTTTCTTCCTCTCCGGTCCAATTGAGAGCAACGCCCTCTCCGGGCCGCTCAACGCCGGCTCCGCCGCCGACGGTGGCGAGGTTCCGTTCTCGGCGCCGCTGGGAGGGCTCTATGGAAAGAAGAAGAAGAAGAAGAAAGGGATTTCGGGGTTCCAGAAGGCGTTTCACCGGAACTTGTCGGAGAAGAAGCGGCCGTGGGTGGTTCCGGTGTTGAACTTCGTCGGCAGGAAGGAGGTTCCGGTGAGCGAGGGGAAGCCGGCGGCGGAGGCGAGGATCGAGAGCAATGTGCAGTGGGCGTTGGGGAAGGCAGGGGAGGATCGGGTTCACGTGGTGGTGTCGGAGGAGCAAGGGTGGTTGTTCGTTGGGATTTACGACGGTTTCAACGGCCCCGACGCGCCGGAGTTTCTGATGGGTCACCTTTACCGCGCAGTTCACAACGAGCTTCAGGGTCTGTTCTGGGAAGTTGAAGAAGAAGAAGCACAAGAAGGAAATCCCGTAGCGGAGAGTGCTGAAGTGAAAAACAGTGAGGTAGAAGATTCAACTTCTAGTTCTGCCAAGAAGGTAGAAGGAACGGAGAGTAAACGTCGGAGGCTGTGGGAGCTTCTGGCCGAAGACCCTGAAGATGGACTCGATCTTTCGGGTTCGGATAGGTTTGCTTTTTCCGTTGATGATGCACTGAGCGTTAACAATGCCAATGCGGGTTCTGCTGTGAGTAGAAGGTGGCTGTTGCTGTCGAAATTGAAGCACGGGTTGTCTAAGCATAAGGAGGGTCATGGGAGGAAGTTGTTGCCGTGGAGTTTGGGGGCGGAGGAGAAAGAGAAGATGGAGGTTGAGAATCGAGCGGAGGATAAGCCTTGTGGTGGTGACGATGGTGGTGGTGTTGGTGTTGGTGGGAGGAAGAGGAAAGTGGGTCCCGTGGATCATGATCTGGTTTTGAGTGCAATGTCTCGGGCGCTCCAAGTGACGGAGCTTGCGTATTTGGATATGACGGATAAGCTTCTGGGTACGAATCCGGAACTTGCTTTGATGGGTTCGTGTCTTTTGGTTGTTGTGATGAGGGATGAGGATGTGTACGTGATGAATGTTGGGGATAGCCGTGCTATTGTTGCACACTATGAGCCCAAGGAGATTAATTCTAATGCGGGAGATGTTGGATCCAGCACCGAGAGCATAGTTGAAGAGTCATTGGCTTTAGGTGAAAGTGGAAATGCAATCACGTTGGGGAATGAAGGTCCTGCTCAAGAAATGAGGTTGGTCGCGTTGCAGCTGTCAACTGACCACAGCACCAGCATTGAAGAAGTAAGTTTAATTTTTTAGAGATGAAATGAAATGCTTTATTTTCTTCCTCTGCTTCTCCCAGTCTCGTTTCACCTTATTTTTAAACCCAACTAACTGTAAAGCTTCAGTGCCCATAAAGCTACTCTCTATTCTCTAGTGTCTTTACTGGAATTTAACACAGCCATTATTGCTAATAATGCTCTTTCCCATCAAACTCAAATATGGGCATATTTGAGTTTGGGTGTGCATGCATTTCTTTGTGCTGTTTTCCTTAAGTAGGCTGTATTTCAATCAGGATTGCCTGTTTCTTTCATTTAATCCAGATCAAGTGGCAGTTGAAGTTTATGATTTAGTAACACGCTGTGTTATGTAATTTGTTATGACATGTTCAGGAGGCTAGATTGTTGGCTTCATAATTTTTTGTTGTCTTGTTTTAGTTAAACATACTAGAAGTTATAATATTAATGGTAGTTGCAGCTATTAGTATTTTTTTCTTTTTCTTCACATGTTGTGACTTGGTTATATGAGTTGCCTAAAAAGTGGAGCTTATTGTTTTGCAGGAAGTCATTAGAATTAAAAATGAGCATCCTGATGATACCCAATGTATAGTCAATGATAGAGTTAAGGGTCGTCTTAAGGTCACCAGAGCATTTGGGGCTGGATTTTTGAAACAGGTCTTTTATTATACTTTGTTTTATTAATACAATGTGTTTTTGAACCATTTCCTGCTTCCTTCAGAGGGAATATGCTGACTTATATAGTTCAAGCATTATGGAATGACATTTCATGTTGATTTTTTTAATATGAATGAAAGTTAATTAATCATATTGCTTAGTGCCTTTCTTTGGTTAGATGTGTGTGTAGTAAGTGTCACATCCATGTTTTTGTTTAATATGAATGAAGATTAGATTTGTGTTAAATCATCCATATTTTTGTTGAAATTGATTCTTCTCACCTCTTATGCTCTTACTTGATATGGGTATAAACTTTTGTTAATACATATATGCAGATTGTTGAGTATTTAAAAAAATGCATGAAGCCATAAACATATTTATATGCATAGATGCACTGGTGTGCATTTTAACTATCTATATTCATAAATGCAAACATCTTTTTATTCTTGATCCTTTTGTATTCTTATAATTATATTTTGATATGCTGAACATTTATGTTGATATTAGTTATTGGAATAAATTGAAATATCTATCACCTTGTAAAACTCCATTGTGCGCTCAGCCAAAAAAAGGGTAAACTTGCAAAACATGTGATATAAATTCAGAAATATTCAAAAGTGTTCACTAGATTGTGTTCACTAGATTGTGTACACTTTATGATAAACTGTATCGATTTTAGCTACCCAGTGTCCAACCTGTAGTGTGTTTGGAAACCCAGATGTAACCAGTATCATTAGATTGTTTTTCCCCCCTCAAAAGCTCTCTCAGATCACGAAAGGTACCAAAAAAAAAATATTATTTTTCTAAATTAAGCTAATCCAAACACACAATTAGACTTCAATCTTGCAATATACTCCTGATCCTGGTTGACAAAATGAGAAGGTTATTAATAAAGTCAATTGTCGTGAGAACATGCTTGCATTGTCATTCATTATTACTACAACAATCTTTTATTTGTCATCAAGCTCATGTTTGTTGTGCTTATGATACTGCTGCGTGTTCTGTTCTGATGCTCATCTATACCCAAAATTAGAAGCCTGATTGTTTATTTGTTTAGGGTTGCATAAATTTCTTAATTGTTGGACACAAATGTATTCTTACATGATGGTATGAATTGAATTTTTCTGTAGCCAAAGTGGAATGATGCAGTACTAGAGATGTTTCGTAATGAATATATTGGCACTACTCCATATATATCTTGCTCTCCTTCACTACGTCACCATAGATTATGCCAGAGAGATCAGTTTTTGATCCTCTCATCTGATGGTTTATATCAATATTTAAACAATGAAGAAGTGGTTTCTCATGTTGAGAGCTTCATGGAAAAATTTCCAGAAGGAGATCCTGCCCAACATTTAATTGAAGAGCTGCTCCTCCGTGCTGCTAAGAAGGCTGGTAAATGAATCTTCTGACCTTGTGTATTTCTTGTTTTTCAGTCTTGTTAGACGTGCAATGTGCAATTTTTTGAATGACACAAGTGGAGGGAATATTAATTAGTATTTCTTTTCATACATGAATTAAAAGCATAAGAACCTTGAGAGAACAATACCACAAGCTAGCTTTTGTAGTTGTAGAGCCCAAAGCCTTATAAATCTCGCATTAAATTCCCATACTTCCACATCCAATGTGGAATTCAACCCCTATACTTTGCATTTGAATCCTAACATCCCACCATGCACTGCAGCCCCTACACTCGTGAGTTGGCAATGCGCTAGTCCCTTTGACCAGTCTCAGGTGAACACTGCAATATTGGTATCACCATCTTAGTTGCTCGAATGCAACTGAAAGATATGGTGGAAGGCTTTGATATCAATTGACAAAAAAACCTTGAGAAAATTATATTACAAAAGCTAGCTATTATAGTTGGAAAGTCTAAGACATTATAAATCTCACGTTAGAGTACTATACTTCCAATGTGCGACTCAAGTATTTTATACCTTGCAATCAAGTTCCTAACTCACTGATCTTTTCGTAAATGGTGATGCAAATTTTTAATATTTTAACTTCTCTTTGGTTGTTTATATAAGACATAAGCTCATGCTAATCTCCACTTTTAAGATGTATTTCAACTAAATTATGCTTGAAGAATAAACTGATGCTAGATTTTAAGAAGTAAAACACTAACACTTGCAGAGTATACATGTTGAAATTTGAAGGATTTGATTTTTTTTTTTTTGCTACATTGGTGTTGGAAGCTCTATAATTATTCTTTTTATTTTTCTTTTCTTTTTAGCTGCTGTAGTGGTGTTAAACCCGACCTGTTCTGCTTTCCTTTGAAAATCTTGTGTGCCTCGGAGACATGTTGTAGTTTGGTGGGAGATGTTCTGTATTATGTTTATATTTTCCAATTTCTTCACTTTTTGTCTACTGTTTTAATAATTTGTAGCTTTTCACCACAGCTACGACATTATTTTCATCAGTTCTTACAGATCCATATATTTTACTCTTTCATTAAAATATTATCAATTCTGTGAGCTTCTAAATTATTTTCTCTATCTGAATTGTATGAAGTCAATTTCAGGGGACTTTTTAATTTGTATACCATAGTTTGCCTTTGATAACAGGTTTAAATTCAGGACGGTTGCTGTGTCTACCACTTTTGTTAGCTTGGGTATTTTAGGATGTTGTAGTTGGATAAAGCTTACTTTGATGTATGTTTGAACATAGTAGGATGCTTTTCTCTTTTCAACCCCTGGGGATGGGAATAGTGCAGAAAGTGAGGCAAATTTCTACAAACAATATGTTGATTTCATTTCTAGCATGATTTTTTTGACCTGTTATGTTTCAACTATTATGTATATACAACCTGCATTTAGAGTATTGATTTAGCATCGAATTGTGGCAGGAATGGATTTTCATGAATTGCTGGATATCCCACAAGGAGATCGGAGGAAGTATCATGATGATGTTACTGTTATGGTGATATCACTTGAAGGAAGAATCTGGAAATCATCAGGGAAGTATCCGTGAGACCTAGAAGTTGTTGGCTCTATACCCGTGAAAACATTTTTGCGCCTGAGGATGCCTTGAGAAGCCAGTGCCATAGTTTCACACCTGATCCATTTTTCATGGGTCTGAATATGTTTTTCTGGGTCTTACAACGTTAAAAATTATCAACTGAGGAATCTCAGATTTTATTGGCAAGAGGCTACTGCTAAAGCTCTATCCAGAATTAAAGAATGCTTAATGCAATTTGGTTTGAGCTAAGAAAAGGCATCGCAGATGGGCTTCTGGAATTCCCTTGAGGAGTCAAAGAAAAAAAGATAGTAAAGCTACTGTTTTTTTTTTTTTTTTAATATTCGCAGCTCTATTTCCCCTTTCCCCCGCCTTTATTTTTTGCAGTTATAGAGATGAAAAATCATAGAAATTTTGCATAGCGAAGGCCCTTTGCATTTATTTTTTTTTCTTTTCTTTCTCTGGCAGAGCCAAGAAAACGTGGGTGTATATGAGTGGGGATACAAGTGTAGTGACTGAACTCGAGCAGTCCTTAGTCAGAAATGACGATCTATAATCGAGGGTGGATTTCCACCACAGCGAATTAACATGATTATTCTGAATTAGAGATCTCTTAGACTTCTGCATAGATCAGTGCGTTGCATGTAATTATATAATGCAGAATAAAACGTAAAATAAGCATAACGAAATCGAACATTAATTGTTAATTTCTTGTATTCTAAACTAAGTAGATGATTGTTTTTCTGTTAATTAAGATGTGTTGTGTTAATAATATTATTTAAGAAATTAAATAAATAAATTTTATTAAAACTTACGTATGAGTGTACTGAAATTATAATAAAAATACATTATCAATATATATTTTTTTAATTTAAACATTTCTTTTAAATTTGTTAATTGGCATCCGTAGATCAATGGATAGTATTTGTCTTAAGATAATGTAAAAGTTGTGTATGAATATCTAGCATTAATTAGTATTACCATTAGGTACGCAATTATGCATGGGAGATGGGACCCTGTTTCTCTCACAATTTGCCTAACGATCGATTCATGGCAGCATGCATGCAGCATTTTGCCTACACTTGAAGGTGGGAGACAACATGATGAGAAAAAAATAATAAATTTCAGGATGTGTATACACTCTAAGAAATGAGAGGAAGATCACACCCATCTCCTCTGTCTTCCAACTCTTCACATCTCGACATTTGAAGCAATAAACAAACGTGCAAGTATCATTGTTATGTAATAACCATAACGGAAAAGGTAAATGTCATTTGAGTTTTTTCCACCATCATCTATGTTACAGTAGCAGCCGACGGAGAATTTGATTGAACCCAAGAGACTAAATCCTCTCTAGTTGCAATAAAACAGCCAACTTTATCCTCACTCTGCCTAAATGGAGCAGCTAGTTTCCTCAAATGAGAGGCAAAAGAAATGTTGAGTCCTTGGGCAAACTTATGAGCACCAGTACCAGTTTGGGCTAGCAGTAACCCTGGCAGTGGACCCTCTCGGTTAACAATTTTGGTGAGTGTCCACATCCACTCTTCGAGTGCAGTTAGAGCTGCACCAACTGACAATGATCGAACATCTAAACACCATTCTTGGTCAGTTTTGTTATGCAAACCTGGGTATAATCCATACAAGGTTCCCAAGTAGAGTAGCTCATGGGCTCTCTCTAGAAGATCCTTGTTTCTACATACGTCAATCAAGCAGTTACAAAAGGGTCTTCTCACTTCAACTGCTGCATTGCTCATGATGCCCTTGAACTCTTCCTTGACAGTCTCAAAACTAGTTTTTTCATCATCAATCAATTGAATAAAGGCAACCAATTTTGGGTTAGCTTGCCGCAAACAACCGAGGACTTTATCCTCATCCTTGCTACCCTGAGAAAGAGACACAACAGATAGCAAGCAACCACATAGCCTATCATCTGGCTTAATTCCTCTCTCAACTGAAATGTCAAAAACTCTTACCAAAGCATCAAATTCCATGGCCTTTCCCAAGCACTGAATCAAACAGGTACACCCCATCACACTGAGATCAACACCCACCTTACACATCTCTTCAAACAATCTCATTGCCTTGTCAACATCCCCTTCACTCCCATATATATTGAGCATTGCCGTGTAACTCCAACTGTCTGGCTTGCTATACTCAGACTGTTTCATGTCCCTAAACAGAGTTTCAGCTTCCTCCACCAGTCCAACATCCGCACACATATTCAACAATGTATTATACAAAATAAAATCCATAGGCCAGCCATTTTCCTTCATCCGTTGCCACAATTCCAAAGCATCTCTCGACCACCTGGCCTTGCCGTATATCTTAATAACAGCGGTTAGAGTCTTCTCATTCGGGGCTATCCCCGACTCAATCATTTCCTCAAACAGGCTCCTTGCAAACCCTGGCTTCCCAGCCTTTCCCATTGCCTCCAACAAGGTGTTATACACAACTAAATTAGGTTGCACCCCAACAGACTTCATCTCTTGCAGCACATACCTAATACCATCATAGTCCCCAGCTTCCCCAAACATCTTCCCCAACACAGAGAATGTGATAGGATCAGGCTTCCACCCAGTTGCTCTCCCTCTCTCATATAAACTTATCACCTCTTCAACTTTGCCTAACCTAGCATAAACATCTAATATAGCAGAATAAGTTACCTCATCTGGCATCAAACCAGTCTTGTACATCCTCTCAAACCAATGCACAGCCTTGTCAGAAAGGTTGCACTTCTTGGCACATGATATGATGGTTGAGTATGTGATATTATCCAGTTGAATCTCATTGTCAATCATCTGGTGTGCAAGCTCCTCTATCAGCTGAAATTGCTTCCCAAACCTCAAAGACTTCATTGTGACATTGTAGAATATGGTTTCCATGGGAAGCAAATTCTGGGTCTTGATCCAATTCAAAAAAAGATGAGTCTTTTGCCATGGCTTCAATGTGTTGAGCATCAAGAGGGCGTTTTCTCTAGTAAGTGGACGTGGGATTTCCACCAAAGAAGCCAAGAATTGAGCCTCGGAGAGGGAATCAGAATCATTGAGTTTCTGAGCAATGCGTTTCAAATCTCTGAGTTGTGGAGAGTATGAGTGAGGAACACGTTTTTGCCTCTCAGGTGAGAGCACAGAGCGCTTGGCCTTAGTGGGGTTGACCCATGTGGATTTTGGCTTAGACAAGACGTAGGGTTGGTCTCCTGTGACCGTTGATAAGGTTTTGTTGGCAAGGGGTGCGAGTTGGTCGGACAAGGAAGTGTTTTTCTTCTTCTTGTTGCTGTTGTCAGAGGTTGATGTGGGAGGAGCTTCTGGAATGGAATTGGAAGTGGTGCAGTGTATGGAAATTTTTCTACGGATTTTTTGCTTAGAAGTAGAAGGCGTGGTGAAGGAAAACCTTGTTCTTTTGGTGTCTGTGAAGTAGATATCCACGATGGTAGAAAGAGGAGTAGCCATTGGAGTGGTTTGGCTTCGAACCAGTTCTAAGATATTATTTTATAACCTTATCTTAATCCAAAAATGAAGATATCCTATTCCTAGATATTCTGATTTTCGCTTTTTTTTTTTTGGTCAGTTGATTTGTAGATTGCTTTTTGTACCCACTTTTTTTTTTTCACCTTATTAATTTTTTATAATTTTAAAAATATTTTTAACAATAATTTTAATTAAGATTTTTCACTTGTTAAAATTAATTTTTAGAAATAAATTTTTACATTTTATCAATTAATTTCTGGAGTTATTAATTATTTTTACAAAAATTTTAAATTAAGGTTATACATTTTCAGAAATTAATTTCCAGAATGAAGTTTTCACACTTTCATAAATTAATTTCCAAAACTATTAACTATTTTTCAAAATAATTTTTCAAAATTACGATTTAATATTTTTGAAAATTAATTTTTAGAATTTAGTTTCCACACTTATACAAATTAATTTATGAAATTATTAACCATAAAAATAATTTTTTTAAATTAGGATTTTACCCTTTCAAAAATTAATTTTTGAAATTAAATTTTTATACTTCTGAAAATTATATTTTGGAATTATTAACCATTTCTTAAAATTAATTTTTGAAATTAAGATTTTATATTTTTAGAAATAAGTTTTCAAATTTAAAATTTGATAATTCAAAATCTAAATTTTAGAAGTACAAAAATATATTTGTGAATGTATTTTTTATCATCATAAATGATATTTTGGAGAAAAATTATAAATTTTTTTAGAAGTGTGAAAAGAAAAAAAAAAAAAGGTGAAAAAGCAACTCCCATTGATTTTCTTTCTCTTTTGTTTTAGTGAATGGCCAATTGATTTTCTAATTAGGAAAAAACAATTGTTTTCAGGATAAAAAGTATTAAATTGCTTGTTGTTTTGTTTTTGTCATTTGTCTAATTAGATTTTGTTTTTGGGTCAATGTATTAAATTAGACTCGGAGATACTCCTTTTTTATGAGGGCTATGGTTTTTCTACTAAGATTTTTAAGCCTTTTTGGATTTTAAGATCTTCTCCCTGTTTTGGCAAAGTCATTTTGCCCAATTTTGCTTCGGATTAAGGCCCAATAATAAGTTTTATTAATTTGAAGTCAAATTAAGTTCTTATAAATCGTCCATGAGAAAAAAGTTCTTATAAATTTATTGAATTTCACAGGATTTCTAAAATAGAAGAAATAAAAATAAACGTTTAGAAAATCAAATTACCGATTATATTTTAACATTCTAAATGATTTTTACAAATCAAATTTTTTTTTTCGTGTTTTTTCACGTTATACGCACACTAATATTTGAATGTCAGTTAAAATGAGTAAACTGTAAAGTTAACTGTTTTATTATTAGCACTATCTTTAAAAATAATTGGTGCTTTGAAAGAATTTGAATCCTTTGGTGTTATTAGGAAATGTAACAATATAAAATAATTATAATAAGATTTATTATTTTTGTGTAGGTTTGTTAATTTAACTTTTCTACCTTTTTTTTAATAACATGACAATGTCTTATTTCATTGTAACGTGAGAGGATATTTATTCATATTAAAGTAGTTTAAAATCGGTGAAAAAACTATGATTTTATTATTATTTTTCAAAGTCAAATGGTTTGCAAATTAACCCGAAATGATTTGCTTTAAAATTAGCTATTTTAATTTTTTATGCAAGTAATTGAATTTATAAATATACAAACAAAATTTATTTAACTCGTTAATTTCACAAACTAAATCATATTAACTGTAAAATGAATCACAATTTTCTTACTTAAATTTGTGTCCCTCCTTTGATAACTTAGTGAAGCTTTAAGGACATGAAATGTAAAGATTGAGATTTAAACTTTCCCATTATGCTCTGAAAAATAAAATAAAAATTGCAGTCACATACCCACAGTGTTAGTACTACTAGATTGGGTATAAACACAATTTCTAGAATTATCAATTTGAGTTACCTAACTTGACTTGATGCAAGTAACACTTTTCTAGATCAATATTCAGACGTTCAAAGTCATTCAATCTTTAAAATTGTAGTTACAGCCCAACTTTACGAGGGTGAAGGGTTTGTTAAGCTTTCATTAATTGCTTCTCAATCTATTATATTTTTTTTTTTACTCAAAAATTGATTGTAACATATTATACATATAAATATTATATTTAAATTTTCATAATAATTTTTTATTTTAAAGAAGTAATATATCCAACATAAGAAATTAAAAAAATTAAAACATTAAAACTTCAAACATTATCAATTCATCTAACAAATTTAAACAAATACTTTGATCAGTCTTAATTATCTAAAACAATTACTTTAATGCGATTTGACTTAACCCAAACCTATTTGTGATGCAGGCTTAAATGGATTGCATGGAAAAAATAAATCAATTTATCTTAACCTTAAATTTAATGACCCGAATATGATTATGCAATTGAATCCCTAGAATTATCATTATCAAATACATACAAATGAATCTTAATAATTTTTTTTCCAAAGTGAAAGGAAACAAATAGATACATGAATATTGATTTCGTACTTGTTTTCTATTACTGTTAATTTGCATAAGAGAACAAAATATTAATTTGTACGCATCTGCCACTAAACTTCTTAAATGTTCAACCCATTTATCTATCTATCGAATGTTGACAGTCATTAATTTTTCTTAAAATCAAAATAGTAAAGTTATCTGGCAAACAACCACTAAGATTATTCCCCCCTTTTTCTATCTCTATCTCCCTTCTTCTCTTTAATTACACAAACACACACACATTTCACACATCGTTATATGCGCTAGCTAGTAATTGTTTGTCATGAGTAGGTAATCATAAATTACTTTTACTCCAATATATATTTCTCTAGGAACATAAAAGAAAAAATACACCAATTGTATTTATGTAAAAAACTTACATAAATTAAAATATTCTTAAATTACAGAACTTATTACTTTAGAAGTCTACAATGTTAGGGATGTTGAGCTCGTAAAAGTTAAAAAAGTTAATTTCATAAAATATCGAGAGAAAATTAGGTTTATTTTATTTTTAATATTACAAGAAGCAAATCCAATTATGGTTATGCAACCATTTTTTAAAGAACATATGAATTGAGAAGGAGCTGTTGATGGGATGGCACGTTGAACACGACAAAGCTCGTGTTGAAAGCTGTATTCCAAGTGCTTGCGTGTTTACACTAATCAACAACTTAGGGAGACGATAATCACTCACACTTTGATGCCATATTCAACAAATTTTCACTGTATAGTTGATTAGTTGAGCAATTTTGAATGCTATATTACAAACGTGAAATATTATGATTTGGTGAATGTGCTCTTAAGAGAGGAAATTACGTACCCTATGGCTGCTCAAGGATGGAATTGACGTCATGCCAATAACTAAAACTTATTAAATTTTCACTATCATATGCAGTAGACGTTCTAAGAAAGACTCTTTCAGAGATGAAAATGGACGAAATTGAAACGATCGTGAAGCACGAGGTGAAATTTGACAAGAGTCCAAGGGTGATGAGACGGGGTTGATTTGGCGCCACATTAGTTGGTAAAACAGTGATTTGACTCATAAATCTTGGCTTAATGCTCTCATAATCCCACAGTTTCATTGGATCCATCAACAAATTATCTAATCTTAATCTCGTGCGTTGTGTCGTCACTCGTCAAAGCTCTTATTGCCACACTTAGCTAACCCCATCGCTAATTTTAACTTAATCCCATTACTCCTTTCACAAACTATTCCTTTCGTTTTTCCTTTCTACGTTTAGGGTTTTGTAATTTTTTAAAAAATTATTATTTCAAATTCTATAAGAAAATTTAAATTATTACTTAACTTTTACTATATATTTTATTTTTCATATTGATTAATATTTATTTATTATTTTTTGTCAAATAAATATTAATGATTACAAGTAGAATTATAAAAAAATTAATTAAATTATTAATTTTTAAATAAAGATAAAAATAAACAAAATAAAATTATTAAGTAAATGAATAGTCATCTCATTCCGACAATTTGTCTGCGCTGGAAGAGTCTACGTGTTACGATTTTAAAATAATAATAAAAAAAGCCTTTTATATTATGCTTTGGATGGATAAAAATGGACCAAATAATAATTTTTTTATTTTTTTACATATCATTTTATGATATTTACGTAAAAAATAAGTAATAGACTTGATATTTTTATTAAAAATTATTATTTTATTTTTAAAAGTGATAAATAAATAAAGCATTTTTAAAATATGAAAAACAAAAGAATTGATGATGTATTTATTATTATTTGTAATAAGTTGATTTGACAAGGTACTTTTATTTAAAGCGAAGAAATGTATTCTTTTTGTTTCATGTTATGTCTGTTTATTTATTTTCATTTCTCTTGAAATATTTGCCATTTTAAAAAATAAAAAATGATAATCATTTTTTTTAACAATACTTACATTTAACGGTATTTCATCACCTAAATGTTTAAACATATTTATAACTATACTCTAACTGTTTTAATAATACTATTTTAGGAAAAGAAAGTAATTTTATCAAAATAAATTTTATAATTAACAATTTTTTAAAAGTTTACATTATTTTGTAAGATAAATAATATGATGCAAAATAAATAATTTTTTTTATTTTACATACCTTGTCATTTTATAATAGACATTTTTAAGATAACAATATAATTGAACGTAGTGAAATGTTTAGCTTCATTTTAAGTAATAGTTTCTTTTTTCCCTTCCGCTTTGGGTAACATTAGATAAAATCAATATTTTTTATTCCATCATAAAAGTATTTAAACAAATAAGTAATAAGTTTATTTTTATTTTATTTTATTTTATTTTAACCCATGTATTTTCATTATTCTATTAATTTTATTTACCATTTATCATCCAAACATATAATGGGAACGTCTTTAGAATATATAGAAGTTAGAGTACATTTATTGTTGATTTAAATAAAAATGGTTTGTAAACTTAATTTACTTTGATTCAAATGTGAACACACCATCAATCATAAACAGAAAAAGGA